GCATACCCCTTGCATCCAGGAAATCTACTAAATCCACCTAGCAGGTCTCAGACCCACACCTCCGGCATCACTAGAGTTGCCTGGAAAGTTACAATAACTTATAATAGGGGTAAGCCACACTTCTCCAATTTTCATCTCTGAAAATTCTTAGTGCAGAAAGGTGGCCAAGGTAGATTTCTCAAGTGAAGTTTGCTAAGGCTTTGAGTGGCTAAAAGTAAGGAAGCACCTTTTTTGTTGTTATTAATTATAATTTGTGCTTTGTGAGAAATGGCTAACTGCACATCAGTCTTTATTTTGTTCCAAGGAGCTGCAGAAAACTGGAATTATTTCAAAATTTGCAGGTGCTAAAGTTTGCAGATATGGTTTTGCACTCATAGGGGAGAAACCACTGGACAGATCAAAACTGTTTTCCAAGCAAGCATTTCTTATTTGGCAAGTGCTTTTTCTCAGTAATGAAATCTCAAATGACTTAATAAAAACTGCTGAAATTGCACAAATTTAAGCAGTATCCACTTGGCCTCTTAACCTCCTTTCATCTAAAAGCTCCACAACCCCACATTTTACATGCACAAGTTGCACTGTATTATTAAAACAGCACCTCGAAAAGCACCTCAAAGTCACAGCCTCCAGGTAGCAGCTCTAATGGCAGCAGATCAGGCAGTTTAATTTTCTTCTGAAAAGGTTATGGATCTGAAGGAGTCTATGACAGTGGTTAAAATAGAACTGGAGAAGTGAAGAAATGACCTCCAATTTCAGTATGTGGTCCCTTCTCGCACCAAAAACACACACACCTTGCTCATTTTTAAAGATCTTCCTTTTAGAAGAGCTTTCAGTGTTATGAATGGAAAGTCTAAAACAGGATGTTTATAGTTGGCAACTCAAAGCCCGTAAGAGTGAAAGGTTCTCATCTTTCTGATCGTATTTTGCATGACTAAAATAATTTTTGAGAATAGCAGGATTATAAAAGGAGCTGAGTAACATCAAAAATATATAGCCTGATACATGAGTTACACTTATAAACCTCTAATAAAAATCTTACCTTTTTCTCCAATATTTGTCATTGTTACTGAAAATGAGAAAGAGAAAAAGAGTAAAAATGTTTAAATAGCAAATAAAACAATTATTTTAAGCTTCTGTTTTTCAACCTAAGAAGGAAGAGTAAAAAAGTTTAAGACACACTGTAAATTTCTTTATGGTATAGTTGTGTAAATTCATGATGAAAATAGGTAAATAATTGAAAACAACACCAATTGCCTATGAAGTTTTCCCAGGCTCCTATTCCCAGGCTTAGTTCTCTAGCACCTCCCTATCTGAAGTTCAAATTCAGTCTGAAGTTAAAGTTCAAGCTTAACCCAAGTAAAGCCACTTCCAAAGAACATATATTTTCTTTATTATCATTGTAATACTTAAAGCGTTATTGCTTATATATGTTGCATTATTGAAGTGGATATGTCACATTCCAGAACGGTTTTAGCCAGGAGTACTCAGCATTACTTTAGATCTCAAAAGCACAATAATCAGAGTAGATAAAAGTGGCATTTCCTTTAAGAAATTAGCCACCAATTATGGGATTCTGAAATAGTAAAAGAGTGGGAAAAGTCAGAGTATGTCAGCAATGGAATACATAAGTATGATGTATCAGTCTCTGCATCTATAGAAAATATCTTTTTCTTATATTTATATTCCAATCTCGGTTGCATTATATTAATGAAAAAAAAAATCTCCAAGAAAGACCAAAAACTCCAAAGACATTAAAATACTCTCTTCCATCCAAACTACTCAAGCACACACTTATCCATCCTAGTTGAGGAGGACGGATCACACAGAATAATATACCAGCACCTATAATTTCCAGGGAGAGCTACTAGCTCAGACCTCACAGGGGCTCTTGCTCTCGCAGCAAAAGCAGCTGCACAGCCTGCAGGCAGATCCTACGGAGAGGCCAGGCAGCTGTGCCATTCCTGGCCTGGTTTGTCAAACTTTCCCAACTTAGGCTTGTTGATGTAGTAAGAGTCACAATTTAAGCACTTCTTGCACAGTGCAGGAGTTTATCACATAAGTAGTTCTGCTCCGCACTTTACCAATGGCCTGGCAGAAGTGAAGGTGTGATTGCCTCTCAGGTTTGAAGAGAACATCCATTTGGGTGGACCAGTCAATACCCACATGAGCAGGGCTGCCATCCAGAGGGACCTAGGCAGCTAGGGCCACCTGGATCCCTATGAAATTCAATGAGGAGAAAGGCAGAGTCCTGCTCCTGGGCAGAAACAAGCCTGGGCAGCCATGGAAAGAAGAGCAGCTCTGCAGAAAGGCCCCAGGCTGGTGGGCCACAAGCTGAGCGTGAGGCCACAGTGCCCCCAGCCACAGGAGGACAACAGTTCCCTGGCTGTATGGATGGGGCACAGCCAGGTGAGGGAAGGGGTTACTCCTCTCTGTGCAGGGCTTGTTAGACCACATCCTGAACACAGCGACCAGTCTGGAGAGTGATTAACTGAGGCAACTCCTGCAGCAAGCTACCAGGCTGGTCAAGGCTGGAGCACTTGGCCTGTGAGGAGAGGCTGCAGGATCGTGCCAAGTTCAGCCTGGAGAAAAGGCAGGTTGGGAGCAGTACCTATGGAGAGGGCACCAAGAAGATGCAGCCAGGCTCTCCACAGCGGTGCATGGCAGGAGGACAAGAGACAATAACATAAGCTGAAACAAAGGACATCCAAACTGGATAAAGGGAAAAGCTTTTTCTCATGAGGACAGCTTATCTGTGGAGCAGGTAGCCCAAAGAGGTTGTGCAGTTTCCATCCTGCACATTCCTTGAGGTTTTGAAGACCTGACTAGATAAAACCCTGAGCATTGCACTCTGATCTCACAACTGGCCCATAAGAGGAGGAAGATTGACTAGTAGGTGATCCAAGATCCCCTCCAACACAAGTTATTCCATGATTCTATAACCACAACAAAACAGGTCTACTAAAATGGATAGTTGGCTACAGCTTTACCAAAAGGAGCACATATCTTACCTGAGGGAAAGCGGTGAATTACCATGGTGAGGAAGATCTTAACGAAAGTCAGAAAGACACCAGGAGTCACATAAGCAGTTACAGAATCACAGAATGGTTGAGGTTGGTTCAGTTCTTTATTCTCTCTTCAAGTTTCTACTTTAGCACAACTTGATAAGCTAGATCTAGGCTACTGCTACACAGAAGTTGAGGGAAGAAGTCTGCAGAGCAGAGATGCTGCAATATGAACATGCAAGAACTTGGTAAGGTTTTTTAGAGAAAATGTGCAATTCAAAAATGCTGGACCTGACAGACTAGGCCAAAACAACCAATTTACAAATTCCGATTTTCTCTCTCCACTAGGTTGGCCAGCAAGGTCTGCAGAATCCTCACCACTGCCTTTTCGCAGAGCTTACACTTGTCTTCTTGCAGTCACTACTCTCTGCTAACCAGAAAGCCTCAGGCATGCATACAGTGCAGAATCACTAACTTCAAACCAAGACCCACTTGTTATTTTATGTCTAGTTAGCATTAGTTTGCACTCTTGTGGAAACTCCCATAGTATTTCCCAGAACTGAGGAGCCGGAGAAAAGCAGTACATCTGCATGTTGCACAGAGTAAGTCTGCAGCTTGGCTCCTAGGGCCAGGATGGATGTGGAACAGAGCTTGAAGTTTTTCACTGATCTTTCACAGTGGTTTGTGGCAGTCTCTCTTCCTCACAAGGAAGAGCACAGAACATGGCTGTGAGAGAACTGGTGCATCATTCCTTTTAATTACTACAGTTTATCCAAGATTAATGCGCTTAAGTTGAGATTTATCTTCTGATCACTGAAACTACATCAGACAAGAGCACTCTTCTATCCGCTTCATCCTCTTCCCTAAAATAAAACAGCTGCTGGGAATCAGATCCAAGTATTAATTAGGACAGATGAGAATTTCAGTGCTGATGGTCTACGTGACCAAGAAAACCGGCCAAAATAAAAGTTTGTCATGGAAGATGTTTAACAAGTTCCCTCCACCCTTTACACTCAAATAAGAAACAAGATAAATGTAAATTAAATAATTTCTAGCTTATTAGAAGATTATATTTTTAATGTAGTCAAATGTAGACAAAATCTTTGTCTACCCTCCAGATATAATATGCACTTCAGAACACGCCTCTGTACAGCAGCCAAGCTTTTCAGTTTTCGCAATCTAGCTTAGAAGCCAAATATTCCAGGAAGTCAGAAGCTGTAGACCATGAAGGCTAAAACATAAATGCCTCAAAATGTCCAGCTAAGTCCAGTAGGCTGAGAAACAGTTTTAGGTTTTTCTGGACACCTCTGGACATTTTAGTCTATTTTGCCATCTGCTAAGAACCAGAGTTATTTTACACTCTCCTAAGTTGCAGCAATAAGGACTGAAGTCTGAAGACAGAATCTAGGATCTTCAACGTAAGTACTTTTTTTTCTCCAGACCATGATTGATGTTCACAGGGGAACTGCACTGCTTAACAAACATCTCCTCAAACTGTGACAGAGAGGAGCACTCAAGATATCCAGTATCTTGCAGCTTTGTAAGATGTGAAGGATCGCTCCTTATGCTCATGTCTTTTTAAAGCACCATTGACAGAGGCTCCCTGGAAGACATATAGTATGTGGGGCATGAGGGGCATCTGTGGTAGCACAGAACTAGAGAGCAGATAAGGGTGACCCCCCTCCCAACCCACAGGAGCACAGGCTATATAGAGACCAGTTCAAAGATAACCCTTCAAAATCAAGGCATCAAACCCTCAAATTACTTTGAACTTTCTCTATTTGTAAAATGACTGCCATACAAGGACTTCTGAGGATAACTACAAGATGCTCATACTTAGACAGTTTAAGCTCATGGGAAATCATTTTGTAACAGGAAAAACAGAACAAAACTCTGACTCATTATTTTTAGATTTGATCAAAAACAAGTTTGTTCATTTTCCATCTTCTGAATAGCACAGCTAGATTTATTAAAAACCAATTCTATATTTTTCAGGAGATACAGACATCTGGCATTGTTATATTCTTCAATGGTATTTTATTATATAATTTTCTGTGGACAATTTACACACATCTTTCCAGTGGTTTTCTCCTTTCTCTTCCTAGGGATTACGTTACTGCTGGCAACACACAAAAAAGTAGGTCAGACTACATTCTGTCATTAACAAACATCAGCTTAAATACGGCATATTTGCCTACTGGTAGTCAATCTGCATACAAGTAATGAGTGCAAAAAGTACTTAAATATACAACAACTAAAAATAACCACCTAGGACACACCTATTTCTACCATTAAAGAAGTTTTACAGATTCGAAGGAAAAAAAGCATAGAATTATTTGAAATTGTATGGCATGATAGCTCCTGTATTTCCAGGAACAGGGATAACTGTGAAACCACGGACCCCACCTTCAAGCATTCCTTAAGAATTTTCAGCTCTGTTCATCTCCCCAAGCACTGCAGGGCTGATTTCAGCAAGAATTAACCTTCCAAGGCCAAGCACTGCCACACTGCCAGGATTTGGAGCTCAGCTCCAGCAGGCTACCGCATCCCTAGGGGCTCTCTGCTGGATTATGCAGTTTGACGGAGCAGGGATCGGGCTGGGACACGCGCGGCGCTCGGGCCAAGGGAGCTGCGGGTTTCTCGAGGCAGCAGCACCGTGTCCCGCTCGCCACGCGCCGCGCTCGGCCGGCAGCACGCACGGCACGTGCTGCGCTCCATGCTGCCGACCGCGCTGCGCGGGCGGGGAGCGCGGGTTTTTTTTTAAACTACAAAATAGGTGGAAAAGGAAAACAACGAGCAGAGGAGGGAAAATTCAGGGTGGGGAGGATGCACAGAGAAGCCAGGGAAATTGTCTTCGAGTTGCTGGTAATCTTCCTTACTGAGCACAGTCTTTCAGCATTAGGTATGTGGCCTTGATAGGCAAAGAGGAAGATACTCAGTGAATACCTGGCCTTGGAGCGCGCAGGAGGAGAACAGGCCAGCACAAAGGCCCCTGCACTGGCCAAAGTGCATCTATCCACAGAGCAGCCTCAGAACACAACAAGTCTGAATGAGCAGC